TTACAAAAATGAAATTTGTTAAACCTAGAGGACAGAAATACAAGTCTTTCACCCCTTATATTACTAAAATGTAGTATTAGGGGGAAAGGCATTGTTAAATAATGCCCTGTGCTTCAAAACAGTCAATCCCTATAAACAACAACACTGTTAATGAAAACTGGACTTAAAATCAATTTTACAAAGCACTTTGTAAGAGGAAAAATTATGCTAATATGATACTAGTTTGGCTAAAGAATGCACCGTCCAAGATCTAAAAAATACCACCAACAAAACAAACAGAAACGAAAAGATTCCACAGAGTGTAGGCTAAACTAAGGGAGACAATCCTCCTTAATGTAGGCTAAACTAAGGGAGACAATGCTCCTTAGTGTAGGCTAAACTAAGAGAGACAATGCTCCTTAGTGCAAGCTAAAACTAAGGGAGACAATCCTCCTTAATGTAGGCTTAACTAAGGGAGACAATCCTCCTTAATGTAGGCTTACTTAAGGGAGACAATCCTCCTTAGTGTAGGCTAAACTAAACAAGAAAATCCTCCTTAATGTCGGCTTAACTAAGGGAGACAATCCTCCTTTATGTAGGCTAAACTAAGGGAGACAATCCTTAGACAATCGTAACACTTATCTCGGTTGTAGTTAATTATCTTCTACATGGAATTATTGACTGGAAGGACTCCCTTTGTGCTACTTTGTTCCAGTATATCGGACCCACTGTTAAAAGGAATGTATCAAATGGCCAGGGAACCGCCAGATCTGCCATTAACTCAAACTTAAACACTTAAAAGTTCTGTAAGGGTCATGTTGCCAACATCACGGCATTTGGCTTCAGCTGCCTGAGCAAAGAAAAAACAAAAACATTGAGCAAGTGAGCTATCCCTCGCTCATCAGATCTCGTGAAAGTCCAGCTGTACAGTGCAAGGACCATATTAATTAGCAGTAGGGAGATTCTAGAAACGCAAGTGGATTATGTGCAATAGAAACTTCAGCACAGTAGCCAACATATTAAGTTGAAATTCCATCAAATCAAAATAATAATGGGGAAACTGTTTTTAATTCTTAAAATAACAAATTATTTATCACTAGAAAAGATACTAAATCAGCGCCTTAATAAAGTTGGAGGTAACATTTGCCGACATTGGTAATTAAGTAGGTGCATTCAATAATATGGCGACATTAAAATGGGGCAAGCAATGATGATGACTGGTCCAATTCAAAAACAAATAACATTTTGGAAAACACTGGAATAGAAATGCCAAGTCCTCAATAAAATCTAGCCTCACCAAAACCAGCCTTTCCACTTCTCATTTTACTGTCTGAACATTAAAGATCTTTACTTAAGGACAAGCAAAATTTCTTTGTCCAATGAGACTTAATGTTGACTATGATTAAGTGAGACTCGATAGAAATCTTTGAATGAAATATTTTGTCCTATAAAATCAAATCTATACAGAACAAAACAGTGGCAAAAAGAGTAGAAAATCTGGATCTAATCCAACTAGCATAAACAGTAACAATGAACAGGAAAATAGTAACAAGCAAAAACAAAGAGTAACTTTTCAAGTAACAAATATGTAAGAGTCGAGATTTCATTGATGTCATGATTATTATGATTGACAAGTCCAGATACGAAAAAGGACTTGTGCTCAAATGTTGAAAAACCATCTGATAATGTATTTAAGAGTTTATTCAAACTCTTCTGTGCATTATGCCAGTTGACCGATGTCTGATAAAGCGATTCCTCCAACATTGCTGATGTGACCTTTCGTATAATCACACAAGGTCAAATACACACCTTGTGCTATATATCCGTTACCTAGTAACCGTACACAGACTGGACATGTATATATATAGTCATCTACATAAACAAATCCTAAATGCATTGCCTGTTGAGAATTGTACTCACATTGGAACGATCAAAATGTTAAAACATCATACAGATACTTGGTGATGGCCAAATAGGCCACGGTTCTTAGGCACAGCTCCCGAAACCTCGTCACCGTTTACAATGTATAGGGTTTTATAGGAGTAAAACAACGTTTATTATACCAGGGCTCGGTTGTTTAAACCCCTAATAACCTTATACGCAACTTAACACGAAACATTGTTACATGTAATAATGTCAAAATATCAAAAATTCACCAAAATTTAACTGTATCAATAGAAATTCAAAATGGACACGATAAATGTTTTTCTTAAATTTTCAGATATTTCTCCAAAAAAATACATTTTGAATATTTCTTGTAAGCTAATCTGATAAAATTATGCTGATTAGATATGTATCTTTCTCCAAATCCACGATCCCCTCATCATTGCTAGGGTAAGAAGGTTTGGCAGAGCTGGCCAGGACTAGCATTATGTAGACAGTAACAGACATATCTACATAGTAATACACACAGTAAAATTCCTCCATGAGAATCGTCCTAAACAATCACATACATGTGTATGTTACAGAATTAAATATTTAATATTATATAACATTGTACATTACCTTTAGAATAAAAAAGGATATTTTTGAGGACTATATTGATAATTTACTAGTACCTTAGTAATAATTTTTCTGACCATTTTAACTTTTTATAATTATCATGATCTTATCAATATGATTAAATTTCTTTTTCTTTTTGGCGAAAAAAACCCACCAACTGAAGCATGAAAAAAACTTGGTGCTCGATAGAAATGTGTTTGTGTTTACATCAGCACCACTTGGTGCAACATTGAAATATGTTTATGTCGGCACCAGTTTAAAGCTTTAACGACATCCACCAAAGCCGAAATCATAATGAACTGTTCCTAAAGGATACAGTCCACCATGGGAGAGAGGTGGGTACAGGGCCTAAGCCAAGGTGATACATTGACTAAATCTTGATGAAATTTCTCTTAGAAGTAAAACGTAGTTGAAAATTAAATCCTATGTGAGTTAGATATCAAATAATTTCAAGTAACTATCATGCTTAAATTCCTTGGAAGAAAATGCACAATGCTAAATTGTGAGAGTTGCATTTCTATTATATATATGACATAGATGTCAAGGAAACTGTACAATCATATTACAAATATATAAGGGCTATTCATACTGACTAAACCCAATATTTTCAACAGGGCACACACACTTCAGTATAACTTATATTGTACCCAACAGGGTACACACACATCAGTATAACTTATACTGTATCTCACAGGGCACACACTTCAGTATAACTTATACTGAACCGCACAGGGTACACACAAATCAGAATGATTTATACTGTACCCCTCAGGGCACACACTTCAGTATAACTTATACTGTACCCCACAGGGTACACACACATCAGTATAACTTATACTGTACCCCTCAGGGCACACTCTTCAGTATAACTTATACTGTACCCCACAGGGTACACACACATCCGTATAACTTATACTGTACCCTACATGGACACACACATTTGTATAACTTTTACTGTACCCCACAGGGCAAACACACATCTGTATAACTTATACTGTACCCTACAGGACATGCACTCTCAAGTATAACTTATACTGTACCCCATAAGTCATACATCTGTATAACTTATACTGTACCCCAGAGGGCACACACACATCACTTTAATTTATGATGTACCCCACAGAGCACATTCACAATAATAGACCATAATTATATAATTACACAATAATTGTAAAAGTTAAATCAAAGGTCGTAAAATTTTCAATTATGGACGGCACAGAGAAATGTATGTTCCTTGATGAACTGTTCCTTCCCCCCAAGGTCATATCACACAATGAAATACAAATAAAACCTCACAGGGATTGTCTGTAAGATCTACCTGCTTTTTAGATCAATAAGGACATATTTACTGCTGGGTAGAAGGCAAGACTGTATAGAAATTGTCATGGAATTCAAACATGGAATATTGTCTTAGTCTGGGACAAGACAGAGTTGAGATCAACATGAAAAATGCCTGAGGAAGTTTCATTCAAAAGATAACACATTGTAGCTTAAAGCACTAAGTTTGAATCATATTCATACACCCCGCTGACATAAGTCGTGTATGTACAATTCAACTTATGGGATTTCAAATATTTCATATCCTCCAACATAATAACAGCAGCTCTAGGTATAGTTTTTTTTTTAAATTTCTGTTTTTAAATATTTAAAGTTCGAACAACTATGACAGAGTAAAATGCATCGCAACATGTGATTCTTATGGAATATTTCTAATGTAGCTGAATTTACCGTTACCCTTTACCTTAATTGATAAACCATAATATATTTTGCATCTGCTATTAAACACTGACCTTGGATAAGAGAATGACCTTGAGGATGAGAAAGCTACCAACAAGTACACACTGGCCACGACGGACCACTAAAGCCATTTAGTGTAGTTAAATACAGGTATATCAAGTACTGCACACCTTACATATCCTTCCTTGTAACATTACTCCGGCATGTTTGAAGGTATCTGCTGACCAAGGGACAACTCAGCGAGTCACCAATAGACTGCACAGTGACTTACAGAGGTATACAGCTCAATGGGTTACCAAGGTATCAGCTCGCAGTCACCACAGTATACACTGGCCGAGTCACGACGGTAAACAGCTCACTGAGTCACCAAGATATACAGCTCAACGGGTTACCAAGGTATCAGCTCGCAGTCACCACCGTATACACTGGCCGAGTCACCACGGTATACAGCTCACTGAGTCACCAAGGTATACAGCTCAGTGGGTTACCAAGGTATCAGCTCGCAGTCACCACAGTATACACTGGCTGAGTCACCACGGTAAACAGCTCACTGAGTCACCAAGGTATACAGCTCAGTGGGTTAGCAAGGTATCATCTCGTAGTCACCACAGTATACACTGGCCGAGTCACGACGGTAAACAGCTCACTGAGTCACCAAGGTATACAGCTCAGTGGGTTAGCAAGGTATCATCTCGTAGTCACCACAGTATACACTGGCCGAGTCGCCACGGTAAACAGCTCACTGAGTCACCAAGATATACAGCTCAACGGGTTACCAAGGTATCAGCTCGCAGTCACCACAGTATATACTGGCCGAGTCACCACGAGATACAGCTCACTGAGTCACCAAGGTATACAGCTCACAAGGTTACAAATGTATACACTCGCCGAGTCACCAATGCAGACAGAATGCCAGGCCAACAAGACAGCACCACGAGTGCATAAAGCTTGCCGAGTCACCAAGGGGCACACTACATTGAGTGATCCTGCAAAGGAAATAGCTCACTGATTCCACAAGGAAACAGCTCACTAATTTCACATGCAAATGACACAGTTTACTGACTGCGGATGAGACGGCTCACTGCATCATCAGGGGGCAGCTCAGATAACCCAAGGGACAGAGCTCACCGACTTCTAATGGGGAAACTCACCGAGTCATCAAAGGGCATAACTCACCGTTCACAGATGTCAGTAAGCATATAAACTCGTTGGATGACAATGTTTATGATATGATAGGATTTTTTTAAGTCCTCTGATTGAGGACACACACCTGTTTATCTGAGATTCACATGTATTTGGGTTCAGACACCCTCACTTAGAACAATGCCCCTGTAATCACCGGACAACTCCCGAGATTGGACATGTCACATTGTAAAACAAGTTCCCGTTTGACTAGCTTGCCATGTTCAGTCTGTTGTATAGTAAAAATAATGTTCTTTTATCGTGCACAGGATTCGCAAAAAATATTTCATAGATAATCTAAAAGCATTAACAGACTACGTGGGTGGTTTTATAATTTCACCAAACATAACACTGCACCAAGACTTGTAACAACACCGATAAATCTAACGTAACAGGTTTAAACATCCTATATCTGTTAGTAATGCCCTATCTCTATTACAACAAATAGAACTCATTAAAATCTATCAATAATCATTTTCGAACAACAAAACAAGTTCATACACATATTTATATAACAAAAACCTGAAAACGACATTGTTCAAATCAATCATCAACTCGTATGGCTTCTGATAAGCAAACCATGCATAATTGCCATTTAATTGCCAATTAACACTGTTCTAATTATCAGAATTAGGAATGATATCAACACGCTTTAACTATTAACATGTCAGATATTAACCCAGACATTACTCAATATATACAATCAAAGTATTATACAAAAACTTGTTACGAGTAATATTTGTCTAAAACAGGTTGTCAAAAAAATTACTGAAAATAAATTCTAAAAATGCCTACCTTCAAATGTTTTTCTGAAGCTATATTTGTGACTATTATTTTTCAAAAACAAGAAAATAATTTGAATTATTAAGTCTTATTATCTGAAATTGATTATCTCAGATAACTGAATTTTATAATCCTACAAATTGGTATATTTTTAGTTCATACCCTGTGTGTATACACCCATTTCAAGCTGTAAAGGGAGACAATTTTTACACAGACATATAGGTGGCAAGCTCCAAGGTGCTTTCCATTATTACATGGAAATGTTTGTCTTGTATTACAGCCATGCATGTCTTAGATGCAATTGAATTATTTTATTTATCTAAAATGTTAAAACCATAAAACTGAAGTCAAAACAAGACTCATGATAGGAAAACAAAACTAAATGTCTGACTACCAACTATTTCACTTGAACAATGGAAAGCACCTTTAGTCAAGGGGGATAACTCCTACCAATACCAGTACTAGTCATTCTGTGTATGTTCTACAAGTATTAAACATTGAGGTGGGATGGTGGTCATTTGACCACTGCCCATTAGTGGTCATCTACGTGGTTCCAGTGGCCTGAGATTTCACTATGATTTCCGGAGAAATGTAACATTTGCTAAGTGGACAGAATGCGGAATCCTCCCTGGGTTTCAGCACTAGTTGTGAAGGCTTGATAGGACAATAGAGAAGTGGCGCCTTTATAGATGGCTTCGGGGGTCGCCTGTAAAAGCAAATAACATAATCAATAGTTAATACAGTAAACACTCTCCATCTACATGTTTATTAGCATACTTTGTTTAAACTATCTCAGGATAAGGCAAAAACTAATACAAATAACTATACTTTAACCCTTTTACCCCTATGTAACTTTAGTAGACTCTGCCATGCAATAATACGGATGAGTCCATTATGGTCTACAGTGGTGAAAGGGTTAAGGCACCCTGTCCCACTGCACTGTTTTTTTCTTATTCACAGTAACCTCCCCTTAATTAAGTTTTGGATTTAACTACAGCACAGTTGGTTTGAGACGCTTCTACTGACCACAAAGCCAAGCTGGTTATAATAATCTGAGGTTCTTGGTTCGAATCCCACTGCTTTTGCCCAGCTGAACTTTTCAAACTCAGGACACAGTTGTTGATTATATTTTCTTTCGTTACCATAAGGTATATATTTTTCCCCCCGAATCAATTTATCAAAGCAATTATTATTTTAGAAATACAGTTTCCAATGTGTAATGACAGTTTTTAGCTAGCAGTGGTACGGGGATCTTTAAATCCAAGCTGTGGCATGATTTCTTTATCCCTCCGAATCCTTTCATGGGATTATGAAATATGCCTGCTTATCCTCAATATTCCAGGAGATATGTTCACTTTCGCTCTCTGCACCCCTGGAATATGTCATGACCAAATGGAAGACTCAGTATGCACCACCTTGACGAGACAAGAAGACTAGTTTGATCCTTTGATTTACATCAAAATAATCTCGCAGCAGCATAACGGTAAAATTGACCATCTTTCAAGTCGAGTGTTGATCCTCTGAAATCTTCAAAGGACAGGTACATTGTATCAGCCTAGCGATTCGTCAGAATTCTTGACCTGGCGCCAATCAAATAGCTAGCCTTCAATTTTTGCTATGACATATTTCAAGGATGCAGAGCAGGTAAGTTAGCAACGCCTGGAGTATCAAGGATGTGATAGCCTTCCTGGGTAATTTACAGATAATGCCTCCACAAGAAATCCAAAATACTTCCATTTTCTAAATATAAGTGCAATCTTGTACAATAAGTCTGATTTTAATTCAATCATGAGCTATCCTTAAATGAAGCACATTTGAAAGAAAAAAGACATAAACTTGCACATGAAATGCAGGGTAATTTAGCTTCCTAATTTATGATTTGTGAACCACTTCATCCTGGTATACATACCCATTTTCATCTATAACCTTAACCTTCTCGCAACCATCTGGAGGCTCCCTGACAAAGGCGTAGGACTTGTTTGGGCGTGGACTGGACACAACTTTAAACAAATTGTCTGGAGATTCACAACCTTCACCCTCGACTGCAACAAACGAATCATTATAAATAGATACTATCTGACCTTCACTCGACAAAATTTACATTATCTGACCTTCCCTAGACAAAATTTACATTATCTGACCTTCACTAGACAACACAGTTGAAATTACAAATTATGCTTTCAGTAAAAATGTGTTACGATACCTTGTAAATACCATGGCTAACGTTAGTCTAGCTGTTTCATGTAGTAACACAATACTATGTAAATATCCACGCCTACAGTTAGTCTAGCTGTTTCATATATTAACTCAATATTATGTAGATATCCACGGCTACAGTTAGTCTAGCTGTTTGGGTGTGTTAATATGATACTATATAGATATCCATGGCTAAGTACCCCTTTGAATTGTAAATAAAAATATCATGTACCAAATAGACTTATTTAGGTAGCAGAAGAGATTTTAAGAGATCAATTGAAACACTGATGTATGTAGAAGCTATTGAGACCAGAATGACTGTGTGATTATGTTTAAGCCCACCTTTTTCCAGCCGGTCCCCCTCACGCGGGGAGGACTCTGTGATGCTGGAAGGACGGGAGGTATCCAAGTGTCCGGGAATGATCGGCATGGCAGGACTGATGGACTGGGAACGACTGCCATTGCTACCTGTATCATCAATACAGCCCGACGGGGTCTGTGTGTCGACGCTACGGGTTCCACTACCGCGTAACATCAGAATGTCATTTACTGGTGCACGATGCCCGTCAGGAATATCATGTACCTGTGTAGAGAAATAGTTTAATATGTATATCGGGAGGACAAAATCAATCAAAATCTCAGCATTCCATTGTCTCCCAACACCACAGTGAGAACAAGTTTAGAATGAGTCGTTTTTGTCACAAACTACATCAGAACACTACTTCACTTCTGTTGTTACCTAAACAGACTTCAGAACATTTTGGATGAAGTGCACTTCAATTTGTCATGTAAATACGCAAATCACATATGTAAATTAGCTGGTTTAAAAAAATTATGACTGATCAGAATTGTCCAAAAAGGTGTAAACAAAACACTATCTCATAATTTAAATGTGTAATTTTATATAGTTTCTTGAATTCAATTATTTGTTTTAAATATATACCTTACACTGATAATGCAGAGGCTTCATTTATACCTGTGTATACCTAATAATCCCCACCATTGTATTGGAGTATAATGCTCCACTAGCTAGGCCTTCTGTTATGGTGAGTTTATGATGCCATTTTTGTCACAAACTACGTCAGAAATAATCATTGCACCTTTTCACTACTTCACTTCTGTTGTTACCTAAACAGACTTCAGAACATTTTGGATGAAGTGCACTTCAATTTGTCATGTAAATACGCAAATCACACATGTAAATTAGCTGGTTTAAAAAAATTATGACTGATCAGAATTAGCCAAAAATGTGTAAACAAAACACTATCTCATAATTTAAATGTGTAACTTTATTTAGTTTCTTCAATTCAATTATTTGTTTTAAATATATACCTTACACTGATAATGCAGAGACTTCATTTATACCTGTGTATACCTAATAATCCCCACCATTGTATTGGAGTATAATGCTCCACTAGCTAGGCCTTCTGTTATGGTGAGTTTATAATGCCATTTATAGATCTTAGTGTTTAATGACCTATAGTAGTCAGCACCAGGTGAGACTTCCATTTTCTAATTAATCTTTACAGGTGTATAGAAATAATCCTATAATAATTATTACTGGTGTATAGAAATAATCTAATAATAATTATGACAGGTGTATAGAAATAATCCTCTCCTTATTTTGATGTCATAAACAGCAGGATCAACGTCCTTCATAGTAATTCAACACAGACCTCTATTGGCACACAGTTATTACAAACCTCTATATATAGGCACACAGTAATTAAACACAGACCTTTATATGCACACAGTAATTAAACAGACATCTATAGGCACACAGTAATTACACACAGACCTCTATAGGCACACAGTTATTACACACAGACCTATATAGGCACACAGTTATTACAGACCTCTATATAATAGGCACACAGTTATTAAAGACCTCTATATATAGGCACAAAGAAATTACACACAGACCTCTATAGGTACACACTTATTACAGACCTCTATATAATAGGCACACAGTTATTACAGACCTCTATATATAGGCACACAGTAATTACACACAGACCTCTATAGGCACACAGTAATTACACACAGACCTCTATAGGCACACAGACCTCTATATATAGGCACACAGTTATTACAGACAGACCTCTATATATAGGCACACAGTGATTAAACACGGACCTCGATAGGCACACAGTTATAACACACAGCCCTCTATATATAGGCACACAGTGATTAAACACAGACCTCGATAGGCAAACAGTTACTACACACAGACCTCTATAGGCACACAGACCTCTATATATAGGCACACAGTTATTACAGACAGACCTCTATATATAGGCACACAGTGATTAAACACAGACCTCGATAGGCACACAGTTATAACACACAGACCTCTATATGCACACAGTTATTACACACAGACCTCTATAGGCACACACTGAGCCACCATTGTCATTTATGGGATTATATTTACCTGATCTTCATCAGTCGTCACCTCTATGTATGCCGGTCTCAGCACTAGTTTTTCAATCTCCTGCAATTACAAAATTCATGGTTATAATGAAGTTCCATTTGTGTCCCTGACAAGGAATTGTCAACAATCTTAAAGTTACCTTTGTGTCCCCGACAAGGAATTGTCAACAATCTTAAAGTTACCATTGTGTCCCTGACAAGGAATTGTCAACAATCTTAAAGTTACCTTTGTGTTCGCGACAAGGAATTGTCAACAATCTTAAAGTTACCTTTGTGTCCCCGACAAAGAATTGTCAACAATCTTAAAGTTACCTTTATGTCCCCGACAAGGAATTGTCAACAATCTTAAAGTTACCTTTGTGTCCCCGACAAGGAATTGTCAACAATCTTAAAGTTTCCATTGTGTCCCTGACAAGGAATTGTCAACAATCTTAAAGTTTCCATTGTGTCCCTGACAAGGAATTGTCAACAATATTAAAGTTACCTTTGTGTCCCCGACAAGGAATTGTCAACAATCTTAAAGTTACATTTACCTTTGTGTCCCAATTTACATTTTGTTGTGTTTCCTCCACAAGGAATTGTCAACAATCTTAAAGTTACCATTGTGTTCCAAGTTACATTTTGTCATGTTTCCTCAACAAGGAATTGTGAACAATCTTTAAGTTTCATTTTTGTCCCCGACAAGGAATTTTCGGCTTCAGGAACTGTTTGGTCACCGGGGTTCCTAATAAATGTGTGTTTCTCTAACAATGAATCGGTGCTTGAATTACAGACAGACAGCTAGCAGGGACCCCCACCCTCGAATGGCTCAACAATCCCTAAACCAGGAAGCAGTCTGGTAACAGAACATGGTAAAAATCCACGAGATAGAACCAGGTGTAGGAATACATCAGATCAGATTGTTTAAGAAGGCATATATAAGGACGAAGGACACAGACAAAGATGATTTGTGGTGGAGATGATAGAGAGATGATGGTGTCGTAGGAATGATGGATCAGCATATATAGGAACATTGCACAGCAAACTGTTTAGTTCAGAAATTGTAAAAAAAAAAAATAACTTTGAGCTAGACACTGAAAGCCCAACTCATATCAGTGACAATCGACACACATTTCCTATCCCACGACACAGCTCCTATCATATAAGTGGGTGATGCGGATCAGCTTTTGTTTTACTTTATAATCAGTAAGTTCGTAACTCACAATTTCCTGTGTTTATCAAGATATAGGTCACACATATTTATTTATAGATCTCCTGTACAGAATAGTGTAAACTTTTGTGTAGATCTGCTGGAGATGGTATAAGGCATTTTTTACATAAATCTAGATGAATGATGAAGAAACATTTCCCCGTCAAAGTTGCCTTATAATCTACCATAGATGTCTTCCTGTAGAAGGACATTCCCGGAGGCTTCGAGAGTACAAGTATCAGAATACCGGAGAAAGGAAGCTTAACATCTTACATGTCCTCGCACTTCCTCCATATTGACTAACACTTTGGTTAATACAGTTTGAGAAATGTTAAATTGAAACCAAATATGTTTTGTCTGACAAGTTAATTTTTAAATTCATTCTATAAAAATATGTTAGTAAGAATAGATGGGCCCAAATGAAATAATTTAAAAGATAATGGCTCATTCCCCATTGAGCAGAATTTGTAACATTTATAAAAAAATCCCCTCAGATTTAACCCTTTCACCCCTATGCAACTTTAGTAGACTCTCCCATGCATTGATCTGGATGAGTCCATTATGGTCTACAGTGGTGAAAGGGTTAAACATTAAACAATTTACATTGAGTTTGCCCTCAAGCTTCCTCTTTTCCATTTGTTTTTATTTTCTTGCCATTTAATTTATGATGCTTTTAACATGTTGATTTATTTGTAACATGGGTGTAGGGATGACAAGATTTAAATAGTTACTCTCAGGGTGAGGTTGACACAAACGAGACAGGTTGTAATTCAGACACGTTTTATTGTCCAGAACACAGACAAATAATTTCATCCTGTTTTCAAAATTACCAGGGCTTGTATTCATGAAACCGTTCTCATGCTCAAGCATGGATTCTGTGCTCAAACCAGCTTTTTTGTTACCCTCTTAAATCATGTCAAACAATCGAAAAGTTAATCGTAAACATTGAAAACAGTATTCCACTTTAAGACCCTTCAAATATTTTCCAAATCATTCACAAAATCAATCTTGTTTTTATTGTTTATAACCGGAACAAGAAATTAGGCTTGAGCACAGAATCCATGCTTGATCAGGAATGAGAACAGTTTCATGAATATGGGCCCTGTACATTAGATGTTTTGAATTCAAAATTTTGACATAGCATGTCCATAAATTCTATAAACAGTGTGTCAAAAGAATGATATTATGTTCCCACCTTGGTACTGGTGGTAAAACAGTCAGTTGGAATGCAATTTTACGACAGCAACAGTGTATCATTTGCATAAAATACACATCAAAAATAGACAATCAATATTAATTAATCAAAATCTAAGATGAGAATGTTTATCTTCTTGTGTCTCAAGACTCAGCGATCATGTTGATAGCTGTCATGTTTGAAACAAGAATAAATTTCAGTTCATATTAAGAAACTGTTTACGTAAAACTATCTACTCAAAATTGTAACACTATAGAGAATGTGTATTATAAATAATAATAATAATGATAATTATTCGAGGTTCTTATATACCGCTTATCACAACCTAGTAGTAGGTCGTCTCAAAGCGGTTCGCAAATTATTATCCGTGGTTATATATAGGGCATTTGCAACCAGCCAATATCTTTCTCAACTCCCTGGGGAGTATATATATATATATATACAGCCGGTGCTGTCATTTCGGCGCTCACAGCTAGCATTCAACCATTCTAGCACTGCCCAACCACGTACTCATTTACAGCTGAGCAGACTGGAACAAGCGGAGTAAAGTATCTTGCTCAAAGATACATTACAGCTCCGTGCCGTGACTCGAACCCGCAACCCTTCGGTCACAAGCCCGGCATCCTACCACATAAAACTGCCGTGCCTCCATTTGCCACAACTCTGTATTCTACCTTTTCTTAGATAGCTTTCTGGCCTTTATACAATTAATACTCTGCGTATGATGTAAGGCATGTAAGAGATATTGTACTGTGTTTCCACATCCGATTTCAGTCGATAAGAAACAAATACGTACCTCAAGTGACCATGATCTCTTGATAAGTCTGATGCAGCTTTGCATAAACAATTTTAATACATCGAAAAACCTGATCTGTAAGCTTAAGTTAGGGGACAACAGCTACAGAATGTGTCAATAAAGGGGGATAATTATGATAACTAGTCACTATATCTTCACCAATCTTGTCTTCTTGTCAGAATAATTATCCAAAGAGATTCAGGACTTGTATAGCAGCTATAATAACCAGGCTAGGCACAATCACGACTTGCAGTCAGTGTACTGATTGTTATTCATGAATATCATTCTCTGAATATTGATGTTGACAAATTGTAATACAGCCTATTACAGAACTCAAAAAATCCACATGTACAGTCACAAATACCCAGAATATAGGGCCCCAGGGTATCCATTGTGACAACACCCAGAATTGATGGGATTTACAGTGAAAGACACATTTTACTAGATTCGGCATATCCACAATCACACACCAAAAAACAGGACTAGAGGGAATCAACAATGACGAACACCTGTGACAGGACTCTGGGGATCCACAATGACAAACACTGGTAACAGGGTTTAGGTATCCAAAATGACAAACACTGGTAACAGGGTTTAGGGGATCAACAATGACAAACACCTGTAGCAGGGCTCTGGGGTTCCACAATGACAAACACCTGTGACAGGACTCTGGGGATCCACAAAGACAAACACCTGTAACAGGGCTGAGGGATCCACAATGACAAACACCTGTAACAGGGCTGAAGGATCCACAATGACAAACACCTGTAACAGGGCTGAAGGATCCATAACGACAAACACCTGTAACAGGGCTGAGGGATCCACAATGACGAACACCTGTAACAGGGCTCTGGGGATCCACAATGACAAACACCTGTAACAGGGCTGAAGGATCCACAATGACAAACACCTGTAACAGGGCTGAAGGATCCATAACGACAAACACCGATAACAGGGCTCTGGGGATCCACAATGACAAACACCTGTGACAGGGCTGAAGGATCCACAATGACAAACACCTGTAACAGGGCTCTGGGGATCCTTAATGACAAACACCAGTAACAGGGCTCTGGGGATCCACAATGACAAACACCTGAAACAGGACTGAAGGATCCACAATGACAAACACCTGTAACAGGGCTGAAGGATCCATAACGACAAACACCGGTAAAAGGGCTCTGGGGATCCACAATGACAAACACCTGTGACAGGGCTACAGGGATCCAAAATGACTTTCTCTTGGACTATCCCAAATCAGTATTTATAAACTTAACCAAAAAACTCTTCTGAATACTGACCCTAGCTGTCGCAAAGCTAAGACATAAAACCACATACAAACAAACAAAATAGAAAACTCCTTCTGGACACTCCTTAACTTACTGTTCACAAAATCACTGAGAATACCTGTTTCATAATATTGTAAACATATTTTGGTGATATTATAGCTATCACCCATTCCCCAACCACCAGCGCTAGTCTATACTGACCTTTACAGTTTGCATATCAAAAGGTTATCTCCATGCTATCCAACAGTCATTACACTTACATTAATCTTTTAAAATAATTCAAATCAAATTACTCTTAAGAAGAAAATAACTTATTTTTAAAAAGCCCAGAAACAGACATTGAATAATGTCATTAAAATTCATGGTAACTAAAGGACCAGCTAGGGAGGGGTTTTAGCCAGAGGTTGCCATGAACACAGGCCCAAATATAGCACAGGACAACAGCAATGCATTGATGATAATACACTTCAAATTATAAGAGTTTATGCAAAACAGTAGGAATAGTTTGAGATCAAGATATTGCTGGAACTCAACTTTTTCAAGAAGAAAGATATATACATGTATTTCTTAACCCTTTCACCACTGTACACCATAA